TATCGAGCAAGTTTCATGTGTCAAGCTACTTGGATTGAACATTACGAGTGACCTGAAATGGAACCACCATATATCGGAAATATCGCGAAAAGTGTCCAAAAGACTCTACTTCCTCAGACAATTGAAGAGAGCAAGAGTCGCAAATAAGGATCTGGTAATCTTTTACATCACATGCATTCGGCCCGCCATGGAATACGCCTGCCCTGTCTACCATAATTCACTGCCCAAATATTTGTCTGATGAACTTGAAGCCCTACAGAAGCGCGCCATGAGAATTATTTTCCCATTTATTTCTTATTTTGAAGCATTAGAACTCGCTAAATTAGAGACAGTGTACATTCGTAGACAGACTCAAACAACTAACCTTTTTCAGGAAATTAGTAATAATCCAGAACATAAACTATATCGATTTTTACCGAAGTTAAATAAATGTAATTTTAAGCTTAGGAATACTCGTAAATTTCAAGTCCCTGTCTGTAAAACTAACAGACTTCAGAACAGTTTTTTTTATAGTAATTGTACATAGTTTAGTCATACTTAGATCTTTTAATTGTATTTTTGATGTTATTGTAAATTCCTAATCTAATTCAGCTCAATTTTGGCTGTAAATTTTGGGATCATTAAACTATCTATCTATCTATCTATCTTGAAAGGAATGTAGGTACATTACTACCAAAAAAAGTTTCCAAGCAAAAAAGTTGCCCACTACTGAGAAAATGGGTGATCAATGATTATCCACTATTAAATTGTATTACAGTAAAAAATGGGAAATTTTGTAGTCAATTGCAATAAAAATGACTTGCATCGATGGAAAACGTACATAAAACCATATATAGGACTTTTAAACAGTGGCCGGACATTTTGCCGAAAGACACTTTGCCGAAAAATATTTTGCCGAAAGACATTTTGCCGAACGGACACTTCGGCCGACGGACGTTTTGCCGAACGGACGTTTTGCCGAACGGATATTTTGCCGAACGAACATTTTACCGAACGGGCAGTTTGCCGAACGGACAAAATAGAGATATCTTCTGAACTTTATAGGTTCGCTTACACGATCAAAATTTCTGTGATTAAAGTCATTGTCGATTTTGATGACAGAAACTTTGATACTGAATTGATATATTCTTTCAAGTTTTGACAAGTTTACCGAAATTTCGTGATATAAGGAATAACATCATTCAACATCATTGATGAATGCGATTTCCCCGAAAATTGCATGTGAGTGTATTCCATGTATGATTCTCGAAGTGAAATTCGCCTATGTCGTCGTCTTTGTATACGCTTGTTTGTTTACGTCCTGACGTCAAAACACGTTCCTAGCAAATGCGTTTTCCGCTGCACAAACAAGCTACTAATAGTCAATATGGTTATGTCCCGCTAATGACCCATTATGCACTGCTAATGACCATATATATACTGTATATAATGGTTATTTTACACAATGGTTGAGAATTACAAAGTTGAGAAATGAGGCACAGTCCCAAATTTTTCAATGATAGTCTTTGAGTTATTGCCGTTTTAAAATAATGTGAAAATTACGGATCAAAATGTCGCAATAAGGACTGGGTACTAGGTCAAAAACGCGTTTTTGATAGCGTTTGATCTTGCAGACTCTTTGGGTACTTTTATAAAAAGATCTGATGTTACAGAAAACTTGCTACTGAGCTATAAGCTAAAAAAGTCGTGCACGTGTTAGGAAATGTTATTGAATGTGGGTTACCAACTGCTTTGGTGTTGAAAATGTAATCTAATTAAGGTCAGAATAGGAAAAAGTAGAAAAAGTCAGACAATTCTGAGCATAAACTGAATCAGCCTTTATAGTCAGTATCTATAACAAAAAAATGAATACCATTATCTGGCCAGTAAAATATCTCAAATCGTCGACTTCTGCTGTTTTGCATTCATGTAAATTACCACATTGATTCTTCCAGGTGATTTCTGCAACAAAATGGGAATCGATGTTAAAACAAAATACAGGGTGTCCCAAAACACCCCAAAACTATTGAAATAACGTATTGTTAGAATTTAGAATGCCTCAGTACTCTGCTGAACCCACAAGTGCATAAGTAGCATAAGTAAATTTTATGCATAAAGAAACTGTTTAAAAGAAGAGAGATTTATGTAATACGCAGCGTTATATATAACAATGAAAATTTGTTGTTCTGTGGTGAGTTGAACCATTTTCTCCCGAACTCATGATAATATGACTAATTTGTAATTTTATCACTTTTGCTAAGTTATTCTCTTTTAGAATTTAAGATCTAGAAGCTGCTTTAAATTCCCAAGAGCAGAAAATCGTGCGCTTTAAGATATTTTAATTTCTTCGAAATTGAATCGTAAAAATGGATTGCGATATTGGTAAAGCTCAGGGCCGTAACTAGACGCGATAATTTTTTTTTTTGGGGGGGGGAGGGGGGCATTTTCAAATATTCATGTATCACGTCTAGTTGCGGTCTCAGTAAAGCTGCACGATATATGCTACTCTGTGAGTGATGAATAATACTTGTATAAGATTTTGTAGTATCAATAACATAACTATATTTAATTAATTTAATTTAAAAGGAATCGAACTTATGTTTATCTCAGTGAATTGGAAAATTATCTGACCATGGTAACTCGGCTAAACACTTCGTTCAATCTTTTTGTTTGTGTTTATGGAAACATGGCGCACGACATTCACCCAATAGGGTCAATACAAGACTCATTGGAAGATTTCTCGATAGTCGCTCATTGAGGGCCATACACGACGGGGTGCAGCAGGGGAAACTTCCCTCCCACAGAAAACTCAACTTAGGAGTTTTATAATGTTTTTATTAAGAGGCAATTTTTTCAATGTCGCATATATTTGCACTGAAACTAAAATCTTCTTGGCGTTCCTCTCAAAATTACTTTGTTTCAGCTCTATTTTGTAGTTTACACAATTAGCAACGTTTTTAGTGTATCTAGCGATTGAGAAACACAAATTAATAGTGAAATATTGTCAATTTAAATGCAACAAGACGCCTGCTCTGGCGTTCACACTGGCCTCGGTTGGCAAAATGCACAAAATGTGGGTTGGGCTCAATTCCCTAAAAACGCTGCCGTTTACATGTAGCAACACAGACGATCGACCTTTTCAATGTTCAGTACAGGTACGTCATTCATACTAACTATGAATAATTTAACACCCCCAGCGCACCTAATGCGCACAAGTGAACCAAACAGAAACAAAATTATCAGTTATGAACAGACGTCCGCTCGGGCGTGTGCGGTTTGCTTCGTCGCACCAGTAAAGCTAAGTTATGTTGTAAAGGATATTCATGCAGTTGAATGCAGACTTGCAGACGAGAATTTCTCGAAATAAATTTGGTTGCTAGAGGTAAAATTATTTTCTCGAAACAAAAGAATAGCGAGAAGGTCAATAATCTTTCGCGCTGACGAGTCTACGAAGGCGAAACGTACGGGGGATGTCTGAATTACACACACATGAATATTTCCTTCTCTTCTTTAGTATATTTAATTTCTACATGCCTCCGTCAAGTTTTTTTTATTTATTACAGTGTGGCCATTCCAGACGAAGGGGCTTCGCTCGAAACGTCGGAATTCTCCTTATTAAGCCCTTATATTTCCAGGTAGCTGCTTCCCTACCAAAGAAAGCTTGTTCATTCTCTAAAATATCTGGCCGCATTTTGATAGACCACAAGTTATGATTTCCGTTTTCAAAACACACACCTTCCACACATATCAAGATTTAAAATTTTTCGTTCCATAGCCTACACCTTTTCACGCATTATTTGGGTTCACATTTATACAAGAATTTTACTTATTTTTTATAACACATGGCATAAATTTGACAGATTGCGACCAAAACACGAGGTCATTGCAATATCATATTTCACACTGCAGTTTTTACGTTTCCACAGCTAATTAGCCATACTATTAGGAACTGTTGTTGCATAAATTTTATTGATATGACACCAGTATGTTAATTTCTCATTTCCTATATCAAAACTTAACAATTATGGTACGTACTTATCTATATTAAAACTATGTTTTGAATTCAGTAAGTCTTAACCTTTTGCCTTGAAGTTGTCTTGTTAATATTCAGTATAATAATTATTATGATTCACGATTTAACGGGAATTCAACGATCCAAATTTCGGATTTCCAGAGTCGTGCACCAAGAAAAAGGCATTAATTAAACTAGAAAGAAATTTCAGACTTCGACACAATGCAAAATCCATAGAAAACAGATACAATTCGTTGAAAAGTTTAACGAAATTGCTTGAAAAATTTTGTCCACTCCCCAAATGGCCGCCATTTTGAAAACTGAGCCTACGGTGCCTCGATGGTTTGTCGAGTTTACGTCTACGAAAAACAAAAACACTACAAAGTCAAAGACACTGAACTGCCCATTTTATAAATAAATATAACACTGGCACTATCGGCCAGTGTAATTATGTAAAACATTAATGTTGTAAAACTGACGCCATATTTATGTACAGTAACACACCGTTTGTTACTCATAACGATAAAACGAGCTACCATGTGTATGAACTATGAACCAGGACCAATAAAACGTAGAGATATGCATGTGAGAGGATTTGACAGCTAATTGTATGAAACATAATCATTCATTAACGTCTAAAGGTATTCGACATCAAGAAATAAATTATAAACATACAATAGCATGAATATGAGACCATACAAATCCAGAGATTACCAACAGGCGAACAATAAAATGAATGTATAATCCGGATGATATTACAATGGTCTTAATTACCAATTGTGTGTTAAGGTCAATAACAACAGAATTCATATCAAGTTCATTTAACCACAGTTAATAGACTAGGAGTCTATTAACTGTGATTTAACCAGTGGTGCCTAAATTACTTTGAATTTGTGTTCGAGTAAAAGTAGAAGTAACTAACAATAAAACGACTTGAGTAAGAGTAAAAAGTAATTAAGTAAAAAGTACTATCCTTACTAAAAAATACTTGAAGTAAAAGTAAAAGTACTTTGTCTGTAGCGTGTAGAGGGGGGACTTCTCCTATGGATTGCCATACAAAAGACAAAACAGCACACGCACCTAATATACAACATTGCACGGCATGGTCTACTTTCCAGACCACGTTGAAGATATAAGAAATCCATTAAATAAATAATGCATATAAAAAAATAAATCAGGAAATAAACCACGTAATATTAAACAAAAGTTAGAAAGCTTTAAGTAACAAAATACTTCGCCACAAAATGAAAATAACGAAGTAAAACGTTACTTCTTGAAACGACTTTGTTCCAAATAAAAGTAATCCGGAAAAAAATTTCTTTGTTACATGCTGACTTCTCAAAAATAGTACTCAAGTACAGCAACGAAGTACATTTATCTCCTTACTTGACACCACTGCATTTAACACAAATATATCTTTTCAATTAAACACTACCTTAAGGTCGTTTTCCACTAGGCGGAATTTTGCGCGCGGAGCGGAATTTTTCTTTGTCTTTTCTAATTAGTTCCACCCAAGAAATCACAAGACAAAGGAAAATTCCGCTCCGCGCGCAAAATTCCGCCTAGTGGAAAACCGGCTTAATTGGCATGAATATGTTGGAATTTGAGAATGAAGACAGCACTATTTACTCGTTGCGGATACATTGGCGCCCATATTCTAAAAGCTCATTCACACTCACACTCAATGAGTGGAGGTTCAATTTTAGCTTTTCTTGACTGTCAGCGCTGTTTTTGAATAGCTGGAGGATTAGTACGTGTCGTATCTTGCTATGTGACTACTCACCCTCCAGCTTTTCAAAAACAGCTTTGACACTGAAGAGAAGCTCAGATTGAACCTCCACTCTTTGAGTGTGAATGTGAGTGAGCTTTTAGAATACGGGCGTGGGTTAACCGGTCAACGACACACAGGATAGTGGCTCGTCTTTATCAGAGAAGGACGCGGAAATCCATGAGTTGCCTCAGGGAGGCAGAAACAACATTGGTGTAGTCGAGGAAATGCAAGACTGTCTTGAACAGATTATCAACGACAACTGTGTCCTAGCGATTGTACGGATAAATCGAGAATTACGAAGACGTCTCCCACACAAGCATGAAATCCCATGAAAGTACATTTTGCACGAACACTGAATGGGATGTTGTTCATACTTAAACTGGTGCGAAGCGTTCCAAACGAAAGAAATAGAACCGATTTTATTGTAAAACGTAGAGAATATGCAGACTGGTTCATGAATCATGCCATGTCTTTCTGCGGATGCAATGGACCGCCCGTAGTCATGGGAGAGCAACTGAGATTACGTGAATAAGCGTATCGGTAGGTTTGCGAAAAGCGAGGACGAAACATGACTGTTTGCTTAGCAGTGATCCGCAAATGGTGACTTCGTGTTTCACACGGCTTTTCCTGGAGGAATGAATCGTGAACGCTTTGCTGATTTTCTTACACAGACACGCCTCAATCTGGATCCTGATGAGGACGTCATCTTCATATATGACGGCGCACCAGCACATAACAATCCACCTGTCCCTGCTCCCAATGCCGAGTTACGAAAACTGCCTCCATATAGTCCATTCTTAAACATTGTGGAGCAATCAAATTCAGCGTTTGATGGGTGATAGAGACGCGGTAAGAAATCAACGACTACTTTTGGGAGAGTTTCGAACCCATCTTCTCCTAGATGCCCTACAGCGAAATATCTGTACAATAGACAGATCTAGAAAAGATGACGCGACCTCAAAGACGACGTGGATGTCGTCATTTGGCGGCAACTATCGTCAGCTTCTGGTTTGCCACGTCGTCTTGGACAATTTCACGACGCGAAAATATAATTTTCACGTCCTCTCCAGAACGTCACATATTTATGCTTCTTTTGAAAAAAATATGAGAGTATGCATGATAAAAATCATCCTATTTTGTTCCCCATATATTGTTTAATGATTCTAGTTACAGGTTTTTCATTGACAAGGTTGTTTTTCTTGTATTTCGCTAAATTTTGAACGTGTTAATTTTTGACAAATACTTCCGGTCGCCATAACAAATCTGCAAGCATTGTTAATAACCACTTCAATACCGCTAGTATTCTTCACCAAAACAAACATTTTATAGAACAAACTGAACTGAAGTTATATTAACAACTGTTTAAAATCAGAAAACATGACTTGGGACTGAAGACAGAAGAATAAAAGCACTTAAAAGCAATTAAAACTCAATCAATTTTAGTTGCTCTGTCACAATAGTGCGAAAAAGTAGGACAAGTAAAAAAACGCTTTCCAGCGTGAAAAACTATCGTAAACAGTATTAAATTTTACCAATATAAGCACTGATGCCATATTTATACTAAACAGTTGACAAACTTGATTGAATAGGCTACAAACTAAAGCATTTAGCTCGTAAACAATACCTGCAGCTATTGTATTTATTCCAAATGATGCAACAAAGTTCACTTTTCAAAATACCGAAATATACCGCGTCTTTTTCTATAAAAAACTTATTGAATGTTCTTACTAATTCATCAGGAAACACTTGGGCAGTATTATATAGCCTTTTCTTGCACATAACTTGACAACCGATTGAAAACAATACAGGAATGAGCAGGTAACAAGAAAACAAAAATTTGCTTCGAAAAAGACAAACAAGCCGTCCCAGATTAAAACCGGGAAGTGAACGCGAGGTGCATACATCATTTTCACGTCGTCTTTGAGGTCACGTCGTCTTTTCTAAATCTGTCTAATAACTGCAGGGAAGTGCGGGCATCCAGGGCTGAAAGTTATATGACATTTCCTGGTTGATATCCCACATATTTTGTGCTGTTTACTTGCATATCTCTACGTTTTATTGATCGTTGCTGCACATACTTGGTAGCTCGTTTTACCGTTACGAGTAATAAACGGTGTACAAGTAACACATACAGAAGTCCAGACATCATTTTCTCTTTGCCGTACCATCTAAAATCTCTTCGTTGTGGCGTAATTTACGGATTGCCGCTTGAGAAACGTATCAAAAATTTGGAAAATTTGATTGTAGTCATAATCAAGCGGAAAAGTATATTCATCAGTTTGAGCGTGTGTTACGTAACATACAAAAGTTTCTCCTCTTATTGTTTGGTTATTTGCCTATTTTTATCCCAGCAATTAGGTCTTGCTCCCATCATCCCCTCCCCCCCCCACCACACCCCGGTGGAAAATCCTGCGTACAGCTGCACTCAATCTAAACACGAAATCTTAGTACTTCTCAATGTATTCCCTTTGCTAAAGAGGTCGAAAACAACATTTTTTATCGGATTAATAGACCCCCACAGATTGTCTAGTCGAATCTGTTGAAAACTTGAAGTACATTACCATGACTCGTTATAAAAGCTTTGAAATTAACCGAGTTCCCAGACCATGGAATATGTATTAATCCATATTAATTAAACGTACTAAAGTCTTATATTATATTGATCTCTTATAAAACACACTTAGGCATCAAATATAACAAGATCTGTTTACTTAATATTATCAGTGTCTGAGTGTAGTTAGATTATATCTTAATACCTGCATTTTGACTGTCTGAGGGTAGTTAGATTATAATATCTTAATACCTGCATTTTGACTGTCTGAGGGTAGTTAGATTATAATATCTTAATACCTGAATTTTGACTGTCTTTGCATACTTCAGAGTAATAAGGAGATCTGCCATGATGGGGTAGACGAACGCGAATACAGCAAGAGTATGATTTCTTCAGAACCTTTAAAAGTTAGCAGAGTAATTTAAATGAATAACAGTACTTAATATACACTGTTTCAGTTTAACTGTTTGGTTTTGCAGTCTCTCGCGTTACATGCCATTATTTTGTCTGTTGACCTATATTCTCAAATTTTGTACGCTGTATTGCATTGCAAACGTCTTTCATTCTACCCTCTCTCCTCCACAGAGGTTTTGAGTTGCTACTTTGAGCTAGTGCTATTAAAATAATGCGCTAGACGGTAATGTTAGAGTGTTATGCGCTAGACCGCGTTCCGAACTTTAGCGGTTTTCTCGTTACATATTACCGTCTAGCGCATAACACGTACTCTAGTCTCTACGATTACCGTCTAGCGCATATATTTTAATAGCACTAGCTCAAAGTAGCAACTCAAAGCCTCTGTGGAGGAGAGAGCATTCTACCGAAAATAAAACATCTGTAATGAAAATTATTGCAGAGAAAGACAATGTGCGTTTTTAAAGAAAATGGCATTATAACTGAAAAAGCTTTAGAACTCTTTAAAGCTCTTTAAAGGTTAATATTTTTACTGTTTTAAGGTGTGAACGTAGAATCGACAACATTTCTGAACTGACACAAAATACGCGATCATTTACTCGATTCGTTTGTTTGGCTGGCATTTACCTGGTATTATGTCTGAAGACAAGCACACTGGTATTATGTCTGAAGACAAGTACAGATTTGTACTGAATTATTTTTCTTTACTTTACATTGCGGTTTTAAAAAAATGCTTTGGCATTTACAGTGCTTTTTAGACCTCTGGATTTACCGTTCACAATGCGGATGAAAATGTTTTTTTACGCAATCGGCTTCCCTTGAAACATCGCAGATTGTTTACGAACTCCTTTGAGGTTCAAAAGCGGTCACGAGTTTCCATAAAAAGTTAATCACGTGGTACATAAAATCAATCCCACGCGTGCAAATCAATATCAGTTCAGCGGTTTTGATAGTATTTTTCAAGTTAAGCTCGACATAGGTTATTTTGGAATCCATTTTGTACACATGTGCTGCCATGGCAATGTACTACGTGTTCAATTCCCAAAACGAACATAACGTGAATGTCAAAACATTGAAATGTATATAAACATCTGGAAATGTGCTTCCTAAAACCTAAAAATACGACGTTTAAATTTCCAAACTACTCCACACCGGCTGAATCATTTGAAAACTATAACGAGCCATTAAAGTACACTTGCAAAAGACGTTTCCTAAGACAGCTTTACAACCTCTTTCCAGGTCTCTTTTTGCATGGTAACATTTATCAAATATTTTTTATAATTAGTTTTCTACAAAATTAATAAATCTATGGGAATTTTTAAATACTTTTCACCATAGAAATACTAGCTATAGTATGATGTAAGTCAAGAAGTTTGTAGTAGAACTAGAATTAGTACCATCGCTACGCCCTACGAGCGTACTTGGGGAATATATTCCTTATAGCTAGGTGCCCAAAACACGTGATAGTATATTTTTGCCAGCAAACAGAAATTAACTTAAACTACAATTATATAAACAAGCTTTCGTTGATAGGGATGCAACTACCTGAAAAATATAAGGAGAATTTCGACGTTTCGAAGGCCCTTCGTCTGAAGGGCTTTCGCTCGAGATGTCGAAATTCTCCTTATACTTATCATTTATAGACCTGGAACGAGGGGGATTCGGCTTAATATTTCCGGAAGTGATGATATTTTCCAAGGGACTATGCCCCGAGGGAAATATCATCACTGAGGGAAATATCACCGAATCCCCCGAACGGAGGGTCTATAAATGATATATTATACCGAAAGTTAAAGAACTCACTAAGAGAATAAACTTTAAAACTTGCTGAATATTAATAACTACGCTGAGTTTTTGACGTTTTCTCCTTAAAATATTTGAGCAAGTATCCTTTGGATCGTTGAATGTAACATACGTGTTGAAATTTTTGGTTTACTTAATAAATCTTCTGTAACAGCTCGCGAACGCCATATTGTTTCAGGGTGTGGTATCCACGCGTCGCGCGTGAGCGTGGGATACTATTAATGTCCCACAGTGCATGGATCTGCCGTGGGATATTATAGTATCCCTCGCTGGATTGCGAAATCATGAATTTGAGTGAAATACCGTAAAAAATCACACTATCACGTAGTACAAATGCTGTTTTTTTCATTGGACAATTTGAATTTGAGGTATAATATTTTCAGATAGTTGCATCCCTACAAAGGAAAGCTTGTTTGTATTATTGGCACTACCTGCACTGGCACAGACAGTTCGAGATTAAACTACAATAACAACACACGTAAAAATCTCGCGGCTTGTCATGACAACATGATTTGTCGCACTGCTTGCTCCCGTGCCAGTTGTTGAAAAGGTCTGCAGCAAGTTGTTATCATCTTGTAACAAGGTATCATCTTGAAGAAGCTAACAGACTCGCCATGCACAAATTGTTCCAATACACAGAATATCGTCTGCACGTAACAAGTTGTTAACAAGTTGATGACAACAAGCTGGCAGCAACTTGTTACGAACAGCCTGTATTCTTCTTATTGGAACAAATTGTAGCAAGTCTGCATGTTACCGTCATCAACCTTGTAACAATGTGATAACAACTTGTTCCAGACTTGTCACAGCAACTGGGAACAGGCAGTGCAAACACATCCCGATATATCGCCTTGACAACAACCTTGTTACAACCATTGAACTATAAATAAACTGGAAGGCTAACTCAGGGGGGGAAATTGAAGCCAGTGCATTTTAGTTGTTCTGAGTTATGAGCAGAAATACTCAACACTGAACGTTGGGCTATATATCAAATTGAAGCTATTGAAAAACTCTATTTGGTGTAGAAATTTCAAGACTTTAGCTAAAAGGGAAATATTGAAAAATTACAAACATAATTACCGAAAATTTGCCGTTTTGCAGTTGTTTTTGTATTTTTTAAATATTTTTCTTTTCGCTGAAGTCTTGAAATTTCCACACCGAATAGCAATTTTCAATAGCTTCAATTTGATATATAGCCCGACGTTTGGGGTCAAGTATTTCTGCTCATAACTCAGAAAAACTATTTTGGCTTCATCAAATCATAGGCCTTCATCATAGCAGTTAGCCTTCCAGTTTATTTATAGTTCAATGGTTACAACTTGTTTGCAGATCTGTAACAGTTTGCATGTTTTTACGTGTGTGTATCAAGACAAAACTTATAGTGAAAGTTTAACAAATTAACATATATGTATTAATAAAATTTCTTAAAAATGTTGGCGCTATAAAAATTTGTCAAAATACTGTACGACAGAATTAGTCTAGTATATTTTGAAAGACCCTGTTAATACTTTAAACAAAATCTACCATTTGGCTTATCTCCAGTAGCTCGCGTTCAATAATTGCATGCGTCAGTAATTTCTGACAGTCTGTGGAAGAGCCCAAACAAACTTTGATAGTGTAAACGTGAGCAAAAGTACATATCAAGTATACGTATATTACCGTTTGCTGGTTGTGGGTCAAATCGCGTTGTTTACATCTCAATGAATACGAAAGTTGTACGTATCTATGTGATTTCGTCCATTCGATGACCAATCCATTATAAAAGGTGTACACATTTAACGAGGGTACTGGATCTGGGTAAGCAACTAAAATGTTGACAAAGAAAAGTATGTATACTTGATCTATTGCCGTCTTGTTATAGATGTCAAATATGTTCATGATCATACTGTAAGTTCTCCTACTACTCTCTACTACGTAGTCCCTATCTCTAATAAGCCTCCATTCATGGTGGTAGTAATCGATTAAGCCCCTTCCCCTCCCTTTGCAACAAAGAAACCGGCAGGAAATTTTAATTATGCCCAAAACAAATACTTCATGTACAACTGTCCTCCCCTGATCCTCTTAAAGTATCTCGGGACTTAATAAGTAATATGTCATTATCAAGTTTGGTTCCAAGAAACCCATAGTTGCCTTCATTTTTAAATGATTGGTTTCAATGTGAGCAAAGGTAGCAGTATTATTGTAACTGATTAAATAGACAGTAAGATGGAGGGCTTAAATTAAAGCACTCATTGTTTTAATTTAACTTCACTGCCTATAGCGAAAGGGTCTTATGTTGATGGCTTGTTTGCCTTGTTCGTTTTATCCTATATTATTATCAAAATAGTTTACTACAGTGGTCTAATCTTCTTTCTGAATTGTTAATAATCATTTTTCGTACTATATATTACGGATCTCACCGAACTGTGGCAACACAACAAAACTCGCATCGCTACCACTCCCATGCACAAAGAAAGCCTTCGACTCGATCAAGTTGAGCTGCGCATTCGCAATTAGCACTCAGCTGCAACTGCAAGTAAGGATAATTAGCAAAACTTCCTTCGCCTTGGAGCCTCGAATATTTTGATGTGATGCCACAATTTCGCAAGATCCGTAACAACTACTTACTTCTCAGCCTAGGTCTAATTTTAACCATTTTCCCCATCAATTGACATCCATGTTGTTTGCCACTCAGATATACAGTATACTCAAAATATTCATATACCATCATACTACATTGACGACTTTTTGAGTCTGATCCGCTACCAGCAGACGTACAGGATGTCATCGCTTGGAACTGTGGGCAGGTATTTGGACACCCCGAATAAGGGAAGGGCCACAGTTTGGAGCAGCATAATTGGGCTGTGTAGTTGTAACCAATGGTCTCGTTTTCCTGCCAAATTACATGTAAATGTCCACTCAACAAATATTTCAATTGAGGCTTAGGAACTATAAATAAAAAGGAAAATTGATTAATTATGGGGATTTTTATTTTCCTCCTTTTTAACACCAGACAAGTTTACTTGCGATTTGCTTGTGAACAGACATGCTACAAGTTGTTGTAACAAGACTAATATGTACATGCAGACCGTTCGTAAAAGTTGCTACGATCAGCTTGTTCTTATCAACAAGTTGTTGCATCTTCCAATACAAAACAATTGCCATTGCAAAAATAGTAACTAGTACTAACGAGCATTATAATATAAGTGTGATATAACAGACAATTTGATTGGCTAATGCGCGTGCAATTTGACGCAATAATGCACTGTGATCTGTGGCACTGCTTTGCTCTTTCTCTGTCCCCCTCCCCGCTGCTTCATCACTGCTTTTTAGCCAAAAATATAAACAAAACCAAAGAGCTTTTAAAATACAAAATTTATCAGAAAGCAAGAAGCCAGGAATAGACCAAAGGAACAAAGCAATTTTTCTATAGTTCTACGTGTAAAATTAACCGGCTGGTATTCGTCGAATTTGTTGTTGTCTCGACAGGTTTTGGGCAAAAGCGTGCAAAAGAGCCGAGAAAAAACTTGAAAAATATACTGGAATACTAAAAACATAGAAAAAGGCAACAAAAACTGAATATAAGTGATTTAGAAAGTACTTCAATTCTTCCGATAGCAACTGCTAGATATATTTTCGGCGAAAGACAAAGCCGAGCCAAAATATTTGATAAATCCGCAATCCGCTGTATTAATAAGATCCGCAAACCCGTGTAAAATATTCGCCAGATCCGAAATCCAAACAACTTTTTCTGTGAAATCCGACGATCCGAAAACCTATTCACCCCCCTCTTTAAAACATCAAAAGTTTGTATTGTTTTGACAATTTTGCTCCTTCGCTCGCTTGATTAAAAATAGGTACGCGACGCGTACATGTATCTGCGAAAAAACTTGATTCACATTTTCATCACTTATTATAAATATGAATATAATAGCAAATAAGATTTTAAAGTAAAAGAATAAAAATTTCATGCAAACAATATTCGAAGTGTCTATTTAGTAAACTGTCACTTGTCAATCCATACCCATTTTCAAAACTTTATTGTAATCATATGAAGCAAAAGTTCTGTCAGGCTTGTTTACACCTGCCATAACTGTTGAGTAACATACACAAACTATTCGAGGAACATGCATGACTGTAGCAAAGAGTCAATATATATCGAAGACCACTGAATAGTAGAGAATGTTTTAAAGGTCATGAGTGAAGTATATAATTCAATTCCAATCCTGTGCACAGTTAATGATATACCACACTGTTCGGTTTAACACAGCATATCCACACAAAAACAATTTGTGTTGTGGGAGAATATTGATTTGAGTAGAAGGTATCACAAGTTTAGTTTTGTACATATTGTGAGCCATTGATCTGATCCATCCATATAATATGATTATTGTAGCTGTTAAGTTATTATCCATACTCATGAATTTAGGTAAGATTGTCTTGCAAGTGGGTCGTTCTGACAAAATCATCTAGCCAATATCCAGTACATTTATTCATCATTCTTGCATTAATCTCTAAACAAAAACATTTATGTTAGAAAGCAAAATGACAATGTACTGTAATGAGGAGGGAGGGTGGGCATTCTTTTATTAGCATTTGAAAATGTTTGTAAACATTTTGTTTAATTATTATAAACTCTAATGTGTATAAAACCAAAATGTATAAGTATTTTAACTGATGACATCGAACAGTGTATAATACAGAAATACAGGACCAGGATTTAATTCAATATCTCCTGAGAACATTTAAAGTTTCCTGTGACATTGTTCATTGATAAATATATTGCCTGCTATGTTTTGATTGTTTAAAATTTTACACAACGCAATGATTATTTTACTGTATAAATATATAATAAAATAATAAATATGTGGTATTTGACTACTTACCAGATGAGGATAAGTTTCCATGTTGATAGATAACTTCGGAATAATATCGCAAGTAGAATGGCACGTGAAAACAAGACAAAATCAAAATATTTTTGAAGCCAAAATGTGAAAATCGCAAAGAATAACACGCTACACGAGGTCAAACTACGCCCGTTCGTAGGTTAGATGCGGGCACTACGTAAACAATTGATGTAAACTGATCGCTGATTAGCTTAAATTGGCTTAAATTATATAAGCTCGTCGGTGAATGGCTACGTGTGAACATACGGTAACAGTACGGTACGGTACTTTGCGATAGCATATGTATATTTGCTTCGCAGATACAAAAATATGTACGCGATGCGTACATGTATCTGCGAAAAAAATTGATTCACATTTTGTATTTTCTTGAAAGAAACAGAATAATGAAGATGACATGGGACAATTGAAATATTTCATCACTTATTATAATAGCAGATAAGATTTAAAACAGGGCTGTACACAGCGGAGACTGCAGCAGGGCAAGTGCCCCACCCCCACACCAAGAAAATTTAACTAACTTTATAATGATTATGATTGTAACAGATAATTATGCAGTCAGGAAATAAAAATTTCATGAAAACAATCTTCTAAGTGTCTATACAGCCGGCTATTTAGTAAACTGTCACCTGTCAATTCAATCCATACTCATCAAATTTTCAAAACTTTATTGTAATCATATGAAGCAAAAGTTATGTCACTTGTTGTTTACACTTGCCAATGTTGAGTAACATACACAAAATATTTGGTGAACATGTCGAAGACCACTGAATAATTGAGAATGTTTAGAAGGTCATGAGTGAAGTATATAATTAAATTCCAGTTCTGTGCACAGTTAATGATATACCACACTGTTCGGTTTAACACGTACAGCACATTCACACAAAAACAATTGTGTTGTGGGAGATTATCGGTTTGAGTAGAAGGTATCACAAGTTTAGTTTTGTACATTGTGTAGTGCCATTGATCAAATCCACCATATAATATATGATTATTCATTGTAGCTGTTAAGTTATTTTCCATACTAATGAATTTAGGTAAGATTGTCTTGCAAGTTGGTTGTTCTGACAAAATTATCCAGCCAATATCCAGTACATTTATTCTTCATTCTTGTATTAATCTCTAAAGAAAAATATTTATGTTAGAAAGCAAAATGACAATGTAATGAGGCTCAGGAGGGTGAAGATTCTCTTATTTGAAAATGTTTGTAAAAATTTTGTTTAATTAACTCTAATGTGTAAAACCAAATAAAATGTATAAGTATTTTAACTGATAACATCTTCAACCTTTGCTCTAACACTACATTTGATGACAGCTTTATAGTTGGACTGTTGTTTTGAACAGAGACAGAGTTATGGAGTCAATATACCGAGAAATCAGTACAGTACCAGGATTTAATTCTATATCTCCTGGGAATGTTTTCACTGTTTAAAATATTACAGAAGTCGCAGAAGGATTGTGAACCATGTTGACAAATGGCTTAAAATATCCTCGAAAATATCCAATATTTTATACAGTGTAATATATTTATAATAAAAAATTCCAGAGTGCAGTTCCATGTAAACTCTACGCCGAAGAATACGGCAATATTAACTATAGATAATATAGTAAATATTTGCCGAACTGGCGAACTCGTGTATTATAAAATATGTGGGACATATATTTGCACAAATTTTGTATTTAAATATATAATATGTGGTATTTGACTACTTACCAGATGAGGATAAGATTCCATGTTGATAAATAACTTCGGAATAATATCGCAAGTAGAATGGCGAGAAAAAAAGACAGCCAATTCAAGATAAATTGATAAAAATATAAAAATATCACGATTTATACACGAGGCCTGACGAGGCTAAAGTATGCCCGTTCGCAGGTTAGATGCGAGCACGATGTGAACAATTGATGTAAACGAATCGCTGATTGGCTTAAATTGGCTTAAATTATATAAGCTCGTCGCTGAATGGCTATGTGTTAACATACGGTAACATTACGGTACGGTACGTTTGCGATAGCAATATATCTGCTTCGCAGATACAAAAATCCAAGCGACAGTAAAGGCATGGGCGTGACGTCACTGCGTACATGTTAGGAGAATTTCAACGTCGATCTTTTGAGTAAAATTGTTTACTATGTAATATCTTCTACTTATATTATAAAAGAAATAGAAAAACTCGTCTCGTGTGTTTATAGTGCGATAATGCACACGCTTCTCTCGTATTATCTCAACACTCCCGGCGTACATTATCACACCATAAACGCACGCGACTCGTTTTCTGTTTCTTAGGTAACCAGTAGCAACATTATCCGAGATTATTCATTTTTAAATAGTAAACAGTACTAATTATTGTTTTGTATTTCATAAAAATACTCAGTGCATGCATATAGTGCCCGTACGGAAATTTTACTATTGGGGACGCTGGTGCTGAGATGATCGAAGTAACCTGGGGGTCTGGGACATGCCCCCAAGAAAATTTTGAAGTTTATACAAGCCCAGGAAGTGCATTTCCAGCTATCCCCCCTTGCACAGTCCTTGCTTACGCTGGCACAGTCAGTCAATGTACATTCACTTTATTTGTGATGCTATGATGCTTAATTTGTCCCAAATTAAATTTTAAACTTTATGTCAACAGCAATCATGTTTTACTGCAGAACTGTCAAGGTATGGTCCTGAACAATATAATTTGCAAGAACATATACATGTCGTTTAAAAACCTATAATTTGCAAGAACACATAGTTACGTGTCATCAAAAACCGCTTAGGTGACTATCGCATTATAATCACCTCATCGGCAACCAATCAGCGTGGAGAATAATAATATTTTAATAATCTGGCCCCTGTGTATATAATTATACTAAATGAACATATCTTGGGGATATGCTGTATGAAACAGACCAATTAACACATTGATTAATATGTCCTGACAATAATCCACACTGGGTCGCTCTAAAAAGTGCTGGAAGCACACTGCTATAACCTATATATTATACTAGAATAAACACTATAAATTCATCACCTTGACAAACCGCTACACAAACATATAAAGCTAAAGGCATTGGTACACTTTGACTCCTTGTACAGGACTTAATATAAGTGAATGTTGTTTTCACCAATCTATCAGTGGGCCAGCTGTTAAACTCATGAAAATCACAATGGCTATGATACCCCAATATCGAATACTAAACTGAGCTCAACGCCTTCATGTATGCCAACAGAAAGAAATAAAACCATCCTTACCTGAATTATTCTAAATGTTGTAGATCGTTTGCATCCATATTATTAAAAAGCTCGTAAAATCTCGAGAAGAATTGGAAGCATGTGTGCGCAATACAAAATCATGTTTTCCCCCCCCACAGTAATTTAAAAAATGTATACCTGAAGCTTAATATTTATATTTCTCCTGGAAAAATGGACAGACAGACACAACTAGGATCGAGATCTCGACAATACAGGTTCGCGCGAAATACTGGGTCGAAAGGACCCTAGATAAACCTTAGCTGCACGTCAAATTCTATTGCGAATTTAAACTCTTTGACGATGCAGAGTTATACATGGCCATTCATAACGGTTGTAGCGATTTTACTGGAAAGAAATAAATTTTGCGCACTATGTTTCGTTCCTTCCCTTATTTCAAGGAGGGTTAAGGTCTCGCGCGGGCAAAGGCTGCATGTGGCTACAAACAGAGCTATAGCTGGGCTTCTGTGGATATATCGGATGATTTTATAAAGTTCTTTCAATGTTAAGCTTTCCGTGGTGTAATTATAGTTTCGAAAACGTAAAAGTAGATTATCGCGTTTAATACTCATGATAGAAAATAAAATTTACACTGTTACACCAATTTTACGTGATACGCGACCAACTCATGGCTCACTCAAAAACGTTGATAGCAATAGTTGTTTTTAACATTTATAGGCGCGGGTTGACAGAGGCCGCCGAATTCGATCCTGACTCACGAATTTTCTATTATTAAATTATACTCGATGACTCATCCCATATCATTATAAAATATCGAATTTGGCGGGCTTTGTTAAGTTTTGGACGTTTCTGAAACAACTATATTGTTGGTCACATATCGCGTTAAACTGGTGTAAAGATTTTTTTTAATTTTTGTGAAATAGTTAATTTTTTACATGTGGAACGTGGCATGGCAGTTTTTCTTCGCGTGAACCCTCATAAAATCTCCACCTGCTGCATATCTTTCTTCACCATACGCCTAATTACCGAAATTCCCCAACATGTCAATACAAATGTTTAGGGTGGTCGCGACAATGCGACAAAGACAAGATGATTTTCGGATAAATTTATTTCATTAAATTAAGCAGATTCAAATATAACCGTAATGTTATCGAAGGTTAATTTAAAGCTTGGTAATCCTTGACAGTTATAATAAGATTAGTGCTTTATTACGAAGCCTTGTGTTTGTGGTGATCCAAAAAAGATTGCGCAACCGCCAGTCTAGAAATTCGAAGATACTAGTTCGCGAATTGAGGTCGAGGAAACATGTCACGACTAATATGAAACAGTATTTAATAGCTCGGGCCTCCAAAACAAGCTTACAAATAAATGGATAACATATATTTTGTTAACCGTTGATTGGGCGTAAATTGGGAGACAACAAATTCTTCTTTGTTGTCTGCAGTGTGAAGATTAATTTGAAAACAGTTTAATTAAAGTAACCACTGTTCGTGTTTAGGTTTCTGTCGAGGGTCGAGGGTGGAAGGAAGAGTCAAATGAGTAAAAAGTCGAGGGTAAAATGTTGAGGATCATGTCAAAAAGTCGAGGGTCATATAAAAAAGTCGAGGGTCGACAAATATAAAAAGTCGATGGTCGTATTTTTTTAAATATTTTATTTCATTTTTATTGTCGAGGGTAAAAATTTGCGGGCAAAATAACTTTTAATTTCTCGACATATATATAAAAGATGCAAATTTGAAGATACAAGCTCGGAAATGACACTCTAAAGTAATACTGTTTTTGATAATGCTTCGAAGAAGACTATATTACGAAGAAGATAAGCCCGAAGGGGCCGAAGTTGTGTTCGGCGAAAGGTATGTCCAGTCTGTATTTTTGTTCAGACAATTTGCGTAATTTTATAATATACGATCTCGCTTGACTTTCAAAGACCGTAAATTGCTACAATGTTAGTGATAATGACTAAAACTATCATGACGAATTAGTAGCATATTGTTTCACTGAAACGAATGGTGGTATTTTTGTTTTCAGGAGGGATCGGTCATTAATAATGGGAGGGCGGCGGTGGGTGATAAATACCAAATATTTGACTTTTTTAGAGCCGCCCCCAATCGCAACACCTTTATTTTCAAAACGCCCCCACCATCATCTAGAAAACTTAGGATTCCCCCCTCCAACATTTAATTCGTTACATTTTTTGGTGTAAAATAAGTAATGGTACAAGTACTGGGGACCAAGGACCAGTATTCAAAGTGGTTGCAACCTACAATCGCGTGCAAAAATAATGAGACTTTTCACATTGTCGCCCCCCCCCCCTGCCCCCATGATCAATGTTGGAAAAAGTGGGTTGAATTTTCTCTTTTCACGTGCACACAACATTGAATTGGGGGTGAGGGGGGCACTTATGCGGTTGTCTCAATAATTTTTGCTCCTGATTGTCTCTATTTGTACTTTTGAATAAAACGCAATTCGTTCATGTTGATTCAACTTAGTGCTCCAGGGAAGACGCTGACTTGGATTTCTTGCTTAGTGAACCTTTTGCTATAATATTTTTTCTCAGCGGTTTTCTATAACTGTGTACTTCATGTAAAAAGAATATAGGGGATCTTGAGAACTATAGTTATTTTTTGTTAGGAAAGGACGATTAATTCATGAATATATACATTGGAAGAAGATTATAAAATAATGAATAAAATTCATACTATTTTTTCCCATGGCTGACAATCATGAGTATATATTATTTTCTTTAAGTTCAAGTATTTTATAACAGACAACGCATCGTTCTGACCTACTTGTAAACAATTTTGGAAAAATTTCAATGATTTTCCTACTTTTAGCTGAATTGTTACATAAGAATGACATACTCACTAGATTTTAAACCCAATTCAAGCATTTCATTTATGTTGATATATGGACTTACCGATCGTAAACTTGCACTAGAATTTATTGCAAACTTCCAACTCCTATGATTTTGGGATTATGTGAGATGAGCTCAAGCAAATCTGGTCGCACATGCGCAAAATATCAATCTATTTTTACGTACTGATTATAGACACGTTACACACACGTTACACCACACGTTACACCACACGTTACATAATAATCTCATGTAGTAAAACATATAGAGATACGACACGTTACACCAATTGTTATTAAAAATAAATATATATATTTATTTTTAAAAACAGTTGGTGTAACGTGTTATATTTCTATATATTTTACTATTAGTCCAGTGGATAAGTAAAAAATCATGCACTTTGTGAAGAAAGCACCCAATTCACAGGAAGCGTAGACTTTAACATGACAATGAATCTTAGATATGGAGGCATCACCAAAATTGATGATGACGGCTTAAAACAGTAGGATTTCTTATATTCTCTTATTAAACTCTATTACTGTTCAGTTAAAATTGTGAAATTGCAGGTTCACATATAGCAAAAATGACTTGCATGATTAGAAAGCTTACAAAAAACTACATATAAGACTTTTAAACGGCTGATTGATTTTCCAAGCGGTTTTCCAGTTATTGCTATTTAAAAACGTGATAAATAGGCAAAAATCCCGCCCAAGTCCTGGACACTAGCCCTAAAACATATTTTCAACCGCTCATAACTCCAGAGGAGTTGGAAAATCAAATAAACTGCTTAAATGTCTTATATGCAGTTTTTTGTTAAGCTTTCTAATGACGCATGTCATTTTTGCTATATGTGAACCTGCAATTTCACAAGTTTTTAATTGTATAAGAGATTAATAAGAGAATATAAGAAATCCTAAATTCTAAGCCGTCAGCATCAATTTTGGTGATGCCTCCATATCTAAGATTCATTATCATGTTAAAGTCTACACTTCCTGTGAATTTGGTGCTTTCTTCACAAAGTGCATGATTTTCTCAAATACCTGTGCATATCCGCTGGACTATATAGATTATTATGTAAAGTAGGTGTAACGTGTAGTGTAACGTGTGTGTAATGTGTCAGCGTTTGCTTAATGAAGCCAAGTGCATAAAATTTACATGAACTAATCACTTTAGATTAGTTGGTCAACATCCCACAAGCACAACAGCACATGTACACTTTGACTTTTAGAATCGATTCTGGCATTTCCAGAGTCATAGGATAGAAAATATAAAACAACAGTAACTCCGAAAATAAACATTTTAATCGGTCTATAGCTTTCGACTAAGATTCAGTCATCATCATTCAAACGTCGCATTGTTTTGACGTTTTGAAATTGTATTTCCGGTTGGGATTAGCACGATACTTGTCGAAAAAGAGTTAATGTTGTGACATGGATGGACTTGTCATATATGTAACTTTTAAAAGATTGTACCTTGGGTAAATCTAACGATGATCTTCTATGTCGAAGCTCACAAGTTAACATGTTTATGTCGAATATAAGAACGTTCTCTTTGCTTTCTTATCAAATTAACGTAACAGCATAGATTATCGGACAGCTGTAATTCTCAAGCCAATAATGGCAATATATTAAGGCAAAATTCCAGTTGAAATATATTACCAATAGCAAGTTAATTAACAAAATAATTATTTAGTTAAATTATTAAGATGTAAAGTTATTTACTGACACTAATACTGAACAATAAAAATGAAATAAAATATTTTAAAAAATACGACGCTCGACTTTTTATATATGACCTTTGACTTTTTTATATGACCCTCGATTTTTACCATCGATCCTCGACATTGGACACTGCTCGATCTCCCACCCTCGACAAAAACCTAAACTCCCACTTTTCCAATCAGTCGCGTAATGTGATCAATCGCAGACGGCATTCGAAAACATTGTGCCCGCCCACCGACGCAGCATCATGAAGGTACGCGATTTGTCGTTTACGATTTATATCTTGGCGTATGTAATCGCGTAAGCATAATGTTTGCATTTCATATTTAATTTCGCCATAAACTAAGAAAAATTGGTAATCGTATACAAAACAAATCGCAGCGTGCAAATTCTGTTTAGGTAATATAGGCTATGTATGATTTCTTGTCTGTATTTTGTTTTTTTCCAACGATGCCATTCAATATTATAGCCTATTAAGGTCAAAATCGTCCAAAAATGTCCACTCCTAGTCAGGTGGGATATTAGCCTTCGTATGGAAAATGATTATTAAATATGGACATTGAAATGAAAATATGGATTTCCATATTATTAGATACCAAATCCATAAGTGAAGATTTTGAAAAAATCCAGTGTTAATTAATAAACCGACAGTTCTAAATACCCATTAGAAGTAATTGTAATGGGTTTATAGATATATTTTCTCATTTTTCAAAACAAGCATCGGCATGCAATTAAAAAGTTATATTTATTTATAATACTCAATGGTAACGTAATAAGATTAATATTATATTAATTTAAAAGCGGTACAAAAAATATAAAAAATCCATTTATACTAAGGTATATAATAAGGATAATTAGATAACACTATAATAATGAGGGATTGGCATTTGCAGTTCTATATTGGGTAACCGGTTGTAGAATATAATTTATATTGATGATGTTTTTATTCCTTTTCCGGCCCAGTGCAGGCAATTAAAAAGTTATATTATTAACACTGCAATGATACAGCTTTAAGTTTTGAAGTATATCAAAAGCGGTACAAAAATATTAATCCGAGTTTATCCCTCTAAAAGTAACTATTTAGATATAATTGATAGTAATTAGATATCACTAATGACTGCCCGCCTATATGAGTGTTAAAAACAATTATAACGAAAACAATAAGAATTCAAGATGAATTAACAAAAAAAGTATGGACTGCTTTACTCTGAAAGTATAGTTATCACTGCCGAGTTAAGAACATGCACAATTTGGGCTGCTACCGTAAAATGACCTCTTGCACGGGTATAACTTGTCCATATAATTAACATAGCTATAGTAGCCTACATTTGCAAAATTCAAAGTTAAGATGTCAGTTAATTAATTAAATTATATAAATGTAGTATGCCGTTGAAATGTTCATGCAAGCAATCTCGACTGATGCCTAATTTGCTGTGTGTATACCTGTATAGCTTCTCCGTTGATATATATTTCGTAGCTCATCTGGGTTCCTTGGGTTCAGAAAGTCGGCAACCAATTCTGCCCGTCAAATCTAAAAGCGATATACCCGCTTGCATACTGCTATAAATTGAACTCGTCGAAAGGACAAAGACTTTGACTTTATACGTCCAAAATCGATTATTAAATCGCTTCATTAGATTCGCTGAACTCAATGGATGCTTACTATGAAATGCAAAAGCGTGCGCCAAATAGAATACAAATGCAATCATATGTTCATTGAAAATAAAATCGAATGCACCTGGCCTCACTGCTGAAAAGATATAGGCAAAGCCATCAAATCCTCAGCTTTTGTATCGGTGCTGATCGAGGCATTGATATTCTGTGAGAATTAATTAGGAAAAACCGGTGTCGCGGGAAGTGAAAGGAAGCGTGAGTCGAGACTAACCTTAAGCTTATGTGAGAAACGTAACAAATATTTAGATCATGCAGACAGAGGTCAGTGATAGTATTTGTCCTTGAATGTGGGATATTAATTTTCCCCAGCCATGCCATATGGGACGCATGCAGCTGCGCTAATTGTTGTAAACTCTTGTAGTTGTATGTATTTTTTTAAAAAACTCATTAATAATTCACGAGGAAAATACAAAAGAAATGAATGTTTAATCAATGTTTGTAAATCTGAGAAAGATTTGTCCTGATTTACATAAACTTCAGCTTTGATTTTCTCGGCTTATACAATGTTTAGTTTTAAAATTACATAAGATGGGTCGTTTTTCAAGCACGATATCAGATAAAGATCGGCTGCTCATGTTTTTTCCCCGAGCCGACGGCGCGAAGCGCCGTGCGAGGGTACTAATTCCGGCCGGCTATTTACACCCGGGGAAAGGAACGCACTAGAGCGAAGTCTAAAGTTCATCAAATATCGTGGGCGCACGGCTCACCGTTCATGGGTGGTCATCCTCACTGATCTCAAAATATGTAGCGGACTGTCGTGAATAGTGAACACTGATTGGTCAAATTTGAAACTTGCATTGTTAGACTGCATTGACGACAACGAAATAACGAACATTTCTTGCAAGCTGTATTTTTCAATTTTTGCAAGATTTTGTAAATTTCAAAACCGTTCTGTGAGCCAAAAAAACGTCTAAAAACGTTTAAAAGAATAGAGCAAAGTCGCCGACGTCAATGAAGGTAAGTTTGTTATAAATATTGATGTATTTTTTGTTTTATAATAGATATATTTATAACTGGTAGTGGTGGGCGATACTGCGAATATCGAACTGATAGTTATATCGTGATACTATCATTGCGTATATAACTATAAGTGAAAAAAGACAGCATATAATTTCAGTGTAGTTTTATTAATTACCCTTTCTTTTGTATATTAAAGTTTTGAAGCGCCGTGCGAGGGTACTAATTCCGCCCGGCTATTTACACCCGGGCAAAAGGAACCAGCGAAGTCTAAACTCTAAAGTTCATCAAATATCGTGGGCTCATGGCTCACCGTTCATGGGTGGTCATCCTCACTGATCTCAAAATTGGTCAAATTTGAAATTTGCATTCCAACGGCAACGACTGCATTGACGACAGCGAAATATTAAAAACAAACATTTCTTGCAAGTTGTATTTTTGCAAGATTTTGTAAATTTCGAAACCTTTCTGAGAGCCAATGAAAACGTCTAAAAACGTCTAAAAGAATACAGCAAAGTCGCCGACGTTATATATAATGAAGGTAAGTTTGTTTTAAATATTGATGTACTGTATTCGGTTTCGGTTTTATAATTGATATATTTATAACTGCAGATAGCAGTGGGCGATACTGCGAATATCGAACTGATACTATCATTGCGTATATAAGTGAAACTGAAGACAGCATATAATTTCAGCGTAGTTTTATTATTAAATTACCCTTTCTTTTGTATATTAAAGTATTTAAATAAAGTGGAAAGCAAAGTTGTTTTCATGCGAGAATTTGAAATCAGTTTATTTCAAACTCAATGTTTACCGATAATTCGATAAAAGGCCGTTTAGTTTTAAGAACATTTTAAAACGTTTTGCGAAGCGTTTGTGGTTGAATTTTACATTAAATTGAAGATTTTATTACGTATAACATACCTAGCATATACATGTTTGGGAAATTGATAATTTTGTTATTAAAAGTGATATTTTGGGGGGATTTTTCAATTTTAAAGGTATTCCTAAAATTATCGTGTTACCATGACAACTACTTTCAATTCTTCATATTCAGAAAACATAATATATTGTCAGTAAGGCGAGGGTTTCTGCATGTATGTATTTTCTAGTTGTATATATAATGCGTATTAACGTAAAGTTACCGTGATGTGACGTAAAGTTGTCCTGAAGTCTAGTCTCGCTTGACTATAAAGGCCATAAGTCGCTATACAATGTTGATTTGTGCACTGCCACTGAACCGAAAATATGAATACACAAAGTCGTCATCCTCTTGCGCAGTTATACGGTATTCTTCGTATTGTATTGTACTCGTGTTATTGACAAAACTATTTTATTGTACTCGTGTTATTGGCAAAACCATTTATGGACAACAGCGGAACTAACCGTAGATAACCGACTTTAGCTCGCAAGTACCAAGAAGACCAATAACTTTGTATCACTGATTCACACTGAACTTTAATACAGACCAACAACTTTGTATCAAAGTCGGCGTGTAGAGTTAATGTGTTTATTAGAGTTAGTGTGTTTATGTGTGACGTACGTTGTACGGTTCTTACACCGAGGTAAAGCCCAATTTCTATGCTCGCAATGTATTAGATCAATACGTCATCAATACATCATCACCTGTCTGTTTGCGACATCCACGGACGTACGTCCTGGCAATGCTTCTGCTGATTGAAAATCAGTAGATGCAAAAATTAATTTCCCATATCGATTCCCAGCAAGCCTTTCGCGCTCGTATCCGACTTTTCCGCTCTGCTCGGGGACAACCTTAATTGAAATAGCTGTATACTGTTGGATACTCCTGTTGGATTTCAGAGCCGGGAATGTTGCTATATAGAGTACCACTTGAGTCACTTGACAATTGTGTTGAGTTATTTCATGTAAAACGACCTACACTAAACAAGTGTGAATATTTTTACTGATTTAAATTTATTTAGAGTACTTAACAGTCTTTTATGAAGTACTTAACAGTCCCTTGACAGTTTCTTATATCATCGCACTAAGACTAAGTTATGCATGCAACTGTAGCTTGAATGTTATTCCGAGATTTTGCATTGATAGATGCACGTAATAAAGTCTGAGCTATGCTTATACTATTATACTGAATGGACATAATTCGAAGGCGCGACACCAGGTCTCTCTAGACTGGCTTATAAAATAGGCCGTCACTGTAAAATGTTAATGTAAGTTAAAAAACGATATGAGGAAATAATTTGTGCGGTAATCAGTGAATACATACTGATATTTGAGATAGTAACCAGAGTGCGTAGGAGAAAGTAACTTTATCTGTTAGTGACTTTCACGGAAAATTTGTTAATTTCGCGATTATATGTATTAATCACTCATTTGAATTGATTTCCTTTTCGTGTATCTCGTTATTATTCAGTACAAGAATATAGCAGGGATAAGGTTTGAACAGGTAATTTCTGATTCCTAGAAAATCCACACGTGTCCCACAACTCCCCCGCTTTCTCGATCGTGTACTTCAGTTATGTGGACTATTTCATCTAACTACAATATAATGGACTGTATGTTAGGCTAAATGCCATCTACCTTTACGTTGAAAATACGTGCAATTGATTTCCAATGAATGGGATGAGACATCAGTATGACACAAAGCAGCCAATAAAATTTGTATTAAAAGATGTGAAACTCTAAACATGATAATGAACTACTTCTTTTGGATCTAAAGAAAAATAATTTGAAGTCAGCTTATAGAATGGAACGGAATTCATAAAATAGGTTAGAGGCATAACAAAACAGAGTGGAATAGAAGACAAGCATCCGTTACAACTGGGAACGCCGGAGATGGAGTGGGGGATACAAGGACCCCTCCAGCTATCCTTTCCTGTAGGGGCAAAAGTGCCCATCACTGAATATAAATAAACAAATATTTACCTTAATAACAGGTTACCAACGACGCTAACTATGGCACACTGGCAAATGGTATGTCTGCAGATTCTCAATTATGCTAGTCAGTATATACTGATGCAATTCTTCAGCGAATTCTCTAATTGACAGAAATACCGGCTTCAAAAATATAAAAATTTTCTGGGGAGGAACCACGAACCTCCTGTTCTTTATAATTAAACATGGAGTAATTAATAAAATATATTTATTACGTACATTATAACGTATTGACTACCTTTCTGTTATTCCGTATGCTTGCCAAAACTTTTAGGAACTAATACTCACTGCTCACGCAAACTCTATATATAGGCACCGCACAATCCCGACACAATTGAATTTTTTACTACCACACTGAAAAGTAAATTATAGGAATAAGAAATATGTTACCATAAAATTAGAACTAAGAATCAATTAAAAAGGAATTCAGCACGAGTCGTATTGCATGAATGGAAAGTGTTGATTTCCGTTGTCCATTTTTCTACGAATTATGGCAATGAAAATATAACAGTAAACTTACATTGAATAACAATTATACAATTTCTTTCTCACGGAACGAATCACAAAGATGGCACGATCATTGATGTAATGATGTACGATAAAACTAGCTTCTTTTAAATTTTTGGCCGTTGTAACACACGATAGAATATTTTGATTGGCTAGAATCAGTGAAGTATTCTTTCACCATCAATTTAATACCATTCTTATAATTCTCATTAAATTATCCAATCTTGGCGCAGAACTCCTCTAAGCATAAGTATACGGATAACAACTGCATGAGTGCAAACTGCGGCGGAGCTTAAATACGAATTCTTGTATCGCATGCAGACGTTCGTAAACAATGTCTGTTTTTCATTGGGGGGCCATTCTGAGAATAGTGTGATAATTGCACTTCCTGAAAAACACATGTTTTATTGGCTAATATCCAGTTTTTAGTTTCAGATTTCAAGATAAATCTCGGAGAAGCTTGTCCAATTGGATGACGGTTTTCGCTGAAAGACCGGATTTGTAATTGTATTTTTTTCGATCATAAAATAGAAAAAAAATTCATTTAAAAAAGTTATATGTATAATTAAGTAATTAATAAAAAATATTGGCGCGACCTTCAAATTCTCCGCCTTGATTCAATTATAATTAGCAATGGTATTAATTAAAAAAAGGGCAAAAAAAACACATTGTATACGTATGTGAATAATTAAATTACCAGTAATTATATTTAACGAAAAATTAATAGCTAATTAAGTAAGCATAGCAAAAACTTCCTTTCAGGCTAAAGGCTTAACGAAGAGTGACTTCTCAGGAAGTTAAGTTCAAAGTTACTTGGTATCATATTGAACTATTCAAGTATAAATTCACTTGTTGTAAATAAGGAAGGTCAAACAGCTTCACCAAGGTTAGGCCTAGAGGAAACATTCATATAATTTTGCTTATAGTTGTTTTGTTTCCATGGTGCTCAAAAGCTGTGACGCTTTCCAACGAGGAAAGTTATAAATCACTTACAACGACAAACTTTTCCAAGGTTTTAGTTGCGTGGTAAAAGCGCGTTTTTCTTTGCAAAACCAACAAATCGATCAGCTTAATAGGAGCTCGCGCATGACATCTGGAGAACTGATACATCGACCTTCAATCAAACCGCTACTCGGTAGGTGGAATAATTAAATCCAGTCATTTCAATTATCTGTAAATTTTTTCTATGATTCAGTAAAAATCAAAGAGATCTATTTTAAATGAACATTATAAATATTAACATTAAAGCTAGGCTTTACAAGTGGTCAAAAGAAGTGGCAAAACTCAGTGAATCATACAACGCGAGCTTCACTTGATGCTTGTTTTGGTAAGCCTCGAGCGAGCGAAAGGCATGTTTTTCCGAGCTTATATAATTATAAAAAGCTGCGGTTTTGATCGGAAATGAATCTGAATATCAGTTAAGCCTATAATACCACACAGTTTATGTATTCCCACGAGTTGGGATGTCTGAAGCAAGAACTCCTGCGAGACGGCTGCATGTGATGTATTCACGAATTAGAAACACTGTTGGCTTGGATCACATATTGACTAATTGAGGCATATTTTCAAAATGGAATGATCAATATTTGAATTTGGAATGAAAGTCATTCATAAATTATACATGGCTATTCGTCAGTAGAATCAACGACTTTTCGTTCGACAATAGATTATAGGCTATATATTACACCTTATGATACTTACACAGCCATACATGCAATTTAATTAATACGTATTACATTTTAATTAATGTAACGCAAACGTAGATAAAAGAAAACTGAATACTATATGATCATGACACGTCATTCCGATAGTTGTTTTGAGTTATCGTATATATATATATATATATATATATATACATAGCGATCACAACAGTGTGCCAAGATTCAGCTAGACGTACTAAATAATAATTGAAAACCATTACCGCAACAATATTCTACTTGAATAGTTGCTCAATAGTATTTATCTCTTCCTGTGGCTGTGCGCTTGCAAATTAATCGCATTCGCTTACTAATTATTGCACTGCAGGGTGATGGTATAATAGCACTAGACGATTTTCAAATGGTCACTGAACTGAACATTCCGCAACTTTTGTGAAAATTTATGTGAATATGCGTTAAGGGGCTGATTACATGGAGAGTTTTCATCCCGGGCTGGTTTTATCCCGGTTTCCCGGGCAGAAATTTCGGGCTGGCATTTCAGCTAGGCTTGACTATAAATATAGCTCTGACTAACTCAGCCCGGGCTCAAAGTGCTCATGCATGTAATCGTGATGCAGTTTCAGCTCGTTTAACCGGGCTGAAACTCTGCCGGGGCTGAAAACTCTCCATGTAATCAGCCCCTATAAATGCGTTTTTCCAGTCCTCGCACGAAGCTCCTCCGCGAGGACTCGCATCTAATTAAAATTAACTGTTTTGCATTGTGATTGGACGAAAGTGCCCATGCATGCACTCGCAGCGAGCTGCGATCAACTTCGTGCGAGGACTGTAAAACCGCCTTAAGTCCGTTTTCCACTAGGTGAATTTGTTCGCGCGATGTGAATTTTTCCTCAGTTGTCGGCGTCGCTTTTGCTGACGTGTAAACGATGCTGGCAAAGGAAAAAGTCGGCGCTCTCGAACAAATTCGCTTGTAGTGGAACTAAACTGAGTCGTCTAATTTTCTCAGCACTAAAATCAGGTTTTATTTATTATTTACTTAGTTTATAAGAAACTTCCATCAAGTTAATTATAAACAACATATGGTATAGCATATGACAAAAATTTTGAGCAACTTGATGAGGGGCTAACGAATGGACTCGAAGTCGAACACTGTTAATTTCAAGAAGTTAATTTAACTCAAAGTACAGTTATTTTGAAGCTAATTTTACCCCCCAACTTAAGCGTAAAATTTGGTTCACAATACCTCCGCCAGAGTTAAATTAACTTCTTGAAATTAACAGTGCAGCGAGCATTGTATTTCTATCAAAGTAGAACATTCTTTACTGAAAACACCAAGAGAACTAATCGAAAGATTTACAAATTTTACTGAGTTGAAATGTTCATTTTGTCCCTAATTAATTTTTTATATTTTGATTTTTTACGCTCAACGTTTTTTTGAAGATTCGATTCGAAGCCAACTGTAAGTTCGACAATATAGAGTGTTCCGGTTGAGGTTAAAAGAAGCAAATCTGGACGGTAGATGTCACCAGTGATGATTGATGGACTTTTGTATCCTGGTAGATCCACGTAAAGATGTGAGCCGCTTACGGTCTGCAGGTTTGTTGCGAGAAAGTTTAGAACGGAGTCATGTCTCCACGTGAATCGTTCTGGATACGATTGGCAACCAGCCTGCTACTACTGAATAATGAGCAATGAGCAATGAACAATGAGCAAAGAGCAATGAGCAATGAGCAATGAATAATGAATAATGAATAATAATAAACGTGGCTAAACAATTGAATTTTTACATAGGATGAAAGAACAGTTATTTAGCTTTACAATGATACTCTTTTTAAATCGTAACGATGAGAAATGGCCACATACTCAAATAAAAATAAGAATTTCCGGTCGAAATCACATTCTTCCACCGTTGGGAAGATTGTATGGAAAACGAAACATCGACAATTCCCAAGCTACAGGGAATTAGAATTGAATGTTAAAATATCTAAAATAAACTCAACTCGTCAATCTTCATCTTAGTGAGACAATAAGAACGTCCGTTAAACATGGTTCAATTAACCACTGAATAGAAAACATTCGTAATCAAAAGTTCTACCAAACAATATAGCTTGCAGCAGACTCGCGTTGCTTTTGGATTGATTTATGCACTTTGCATAATTCAGTAATGTATTTTCAATTCCCAAGGGTGGAATGATGTGATTTCGACCGGCAATTTTTATGTGGCCATTTCTCATCGTTGTGATTTTAAAAATGTATCTGCATGTTTTGACACTTTAATAGTATACAAATAATGAATGTTTATGAGTGCAATGGTAAGAATATTTTCATGAGGTGAAAGATAGAATGTTCCATTCAACGAGGCGACAGCCGAGTTGAATGGAACATTCCATCTTTCACCGAATGAAAATATTTTTACCATTGCACGAATAAAAACATTCATTATTCGTTTTATATAATACCAAAATAGACTAATATTAAAAGGTTTACTGTAAGCTCCCGCCATTTTGACGAGTCGTATTTGCATTAAATCCCATTTACTGAGTTTCGATCGAATATCGGGTTAAAACAAACTGCGATCAACGTACGAGAACCATTTTGACGGATGTGATTTATCGAAAACACAAAGAGTGCAATGGAATAAAACGTATATATAGTACAATTGCACTCGCAAGAGTGCAATGGAACGTATTCCATTGCACTCTTGGGAAATGGAATTTTCTATTGAATTTCAGACAGGAACCAGAAACGACGTAGTTTTGGACCCATATTGATCGCTTACTCTCAAGATAAAAAATTAGTGTGACACCTCTCCGGACGTAACATGCATATCCTCAATGACTCAAGATGGCGAACAACTCACTTTTTTCAGTCGAAATATTTTGAAAACTAAGCAAGATATAAACAATCTGCAATAGGAGTTTAATAGTTTGATTAAGGGTTCTTTCAAATGAACTAAACTAATTTTTATTGCCAATGTCCTTAATCCCCGAGCCGACGGCGCGAAGCGCCGTGCGAGGGTACTAATTCCCCCCGGCTATTTACACCCGGAGAAACGAAAGCATTAGCGGAGTCTAAAGTTCATCAAATATCGCGGGCGTGGGTGACCAACGATGGGTGGTCATCCTCACTGATCTCAAAAATATGGCGGACTGTCATAAATAGCGGACACTGATTGGTCCAATTTAAATTTTGCATTATAACGACTGGCACGAATGTATCACGACAGCGAAATAGCAAACATTTCTTGATTTGATGATTGATAAATTTCTTGCAAATATATTTCATTTTTACTCGCATTTTTGCAAGATTTTGTAAATTTCAAAAGCTCTCTCAAAATGAAACTGCGAAAGAATCGTCTAAAAGAAGGGAGCCGACGTTAACGAAGGTAAGTTTGTTTTAAATATTGATTTTATAATGGCTTTAAAACCCGACGGCCTTTGCGTATATGAAACAACTAAACAAACAGCATATAATTTTAGTGTATCTTTAATATTGATTCCCTTTTTTATGATATTGAATTTCTAAATAAAAAAGAAAGCACTGAGTTATTTGCAAGCCAGAATTTGAAATCATTTTATTGCTATAGCTAACTCAAAGTTTATCGATAAAGCCATTTTAAAAGGCAGTTTAGTTTTATAAAGAACACTAGTGACTTAAAACGTTTTGCGAAGCGTTTGTGGTTGAATTTTACCTTAAATTGAGGCTTATATTACGTATAAAAACATACCTAACATATATTTATGTTGGGAAATTAATAATTTTGTAATTTTTGCAAGCCAGAATTTGAAATCATTTTATTGCTAACTCAAAGTTTATCGATAAAGCCATTTTAAAAGGCAGTTTAGTTTTATAATGAACACTAGTGACTTTAAAACGTTTTGCGAAGCGTTTGTGGTTGAATTTTACCTTAAATTGAGGCTTATATTACGTATAAAAACATACCTAACATATATTTATGTTGGGAAATTAATAATTTTGTAATTAAAAGTGATATTTTTAGGCGATTTTTCATTTGTAAGAATATTCTTAAAAAATTATCGTGTTACCATGACAACTATTTTAGAACTTCATGTTCGGAAAATACAATGGTTTTGTCAGCAAAGGCGAGGGTTTCTGCATGCATGTATTTTCTAGTTATATATATATATATATATATATATATATATATATATATATATATATATATATATATATATATATATATATATATATATATATATATATTTGAAAGACATAAACAAAGACAATTTACTCAATAAAAGAAGCGAAATTTTCGGCAAATGTCGTCACAAAAATCGGTTTCGAGTAAACAAGGTCGTTAACAAAACCTAATGACCCAAGCATGCATTGTTTCACCTAAGCATTGTTTCTGCACCTAAGCATTGTTTCGCCTACACGCATTCCGCACATTCTTTCGATAGCATAAAAGTAACCTACGATTTCGAAATTATTCACCACCTGATGATTCCTATACGGATGAAACAGACCGTTGTGGTTTTTTGAGGTAAAACGAAAAACTATATGACGCTCTATCTATATTATATATATATATATATATATATATATATATATATATATATATATATATATATATATATATATATATATATATATATATATATATATATATATATATATACAGGGTGTATAAAAAAAAACTGAACAGATTTGAAATTGTTCTCAATTTCGCAAAACACCTATTTGTATCTGGTTTTTTATATATATAGCGTCTTTGGGTACTTATAATGTAAAATAATGAAAAAAAATTACCGAACTCAAATTCTGTGAACCAGGGGGGGGGGTGTCTTTCCCAACAAACTAAAAATGGCTTGCGCACAAAATTTAAAAGCTGTAATCATATTTTGAGTTAATAGATTGAAAATTTGTCGGGTTTTTAATTACTGTACAAAATTTCAGACAATTTGGTTTAATTTAAGCCCTTTAACTATTCATTTTGTTCTAAAAAGTCAGCCTTTCGCATGCTTAATTAATGCCTTTACCTAATTTGCATATTGCTCACATATGCAAATTAGGCAAATGCATTAATTAAGCATGCAAATAGCTGATTTTTCGGGAAAATTGTAACTTTGCGTGAATTGTTAAGGGGGCTTAAACTAAATGAAATTGTCTGAAATGTTGTACAGTAATTAAAATCCTGACAAATTTTCCATCTGTTAACTCAAAATATGATTGCAGCTTTTAAATTTTGTGCGCGAGCCATTTTTAGTTTGTTGGAAAAGACACACCCCCTGGTTCACAAAATTTGAGTTCGAGAATTTTTTCTCATTATTCTACATTATAAGTACCCAAAGAGGCTATATATATATATATATATATATATATATATATATATATATATATATATATATATATATATATATATATATATATATATATATATATATATATATATATCTATATATCTATATATCTATATATATATACCGGGTGGCCCAAAAAAAAGTACTCCTGTTTGATTCGTAATAACTTCTAAACAAGTACAGCTTTTAAAGAGAAATAACTTACATTAAATAGAGGAAAGACTAACTTAGATTTTGATATATTACAGGTCTATTTTACTTAAAAATTCACGGAGATATTAATGTTCAAAATCGGGAGCATACTTTGGGATGTGTCTAAAATTAGCGAAAATCGGCATATCAAATATTAACTCCAGCGTTTGTTTGCTTAATGACATATCAGGCTAACTTGTATTTCAACGAATTATCGTTAGGGTTTGTAAGGGATATATATGGCGTAGATTTAGACATCTTGCATGTAAGTCTTAGCTCATTGTTTCCTGAAATATGAACGTTCGGAATTATGCAAGTATTTAATTTTAGGTCTTTACAAACTTAAAAGTACATGAAAGACTGACCATGCATGCATGGAAGGCAGGCGCTTAAATATTTCTTAAATAGCCTAATTTTTTTATGTTTTTAATGGGTTCAAAAAGACTGAGTTGATTATTTCTCGGTTAGAGCAGGATGAATATTATTCTATATTGAAGGAAATAATATTGCTTTTTGCAAATACACAGCACCGTATCAACGCTACTATTTTGTTACGTTTTGTTCCAAAAATGTTGCATGTCTCTGGGGAGTTGCTTAATTGTTATGTCTTATGGAGTTATATGGTTTGATTGTGTTTCATATAATTCTCAGTTTACTCCGAACTTGCCGAGATTAAGAAATTAGGCAAAAGAGTTTGGGTGTTCTTAACAAGATTTCAGAACGTTGCACAAGTTAGAAGAGCTTCACAATTCCATTGTGACAGCATGCCCTAATTCAGAACTACGAACGATCCATGACGATCCTTCGCGATGCAGTGGTCTCATAAAATAAGGAAACGTATTCGTACTAAAAACACACGCGAATTTCGGACGAATAAATATTGCTTGTATTTTGTAGATATAATAATACTTTGTTTCATAATATAATAAACAATTTGTCCAGTGTCATTTATTTACTGGTAATAGTGCATGTTTCAGTCGAGCAAATCTTGATTAATATTTGATACGCTGTTTTTTGCATATTTCAGACACATCCAGAAATATGCTCCCGATTTTAAAGATTAATATCTCCGTGAATTTTTAAGTGAAATACAACTGTAATATATCAAAATCTAAGTTAGTCCTACCTCTATTTAATGCAAGTTATTTCTCGTTAAAAGCTGTACTTGTTTAGAAGTTATTACGAATCAAACAGGAGTACTTTTTTTTGGGACACCCGGTATGTATATATATATATATATATATATATATATATATATATATATATATATATATATATATATATATATATATATATATATATATATATATATATATATATATATATATATTAAGATGAAAATGTTCTAGGGTGTGTATTATATAATTTCCATACCCAGCGCAAGCAGGAAGATGTTGTCTGCCGCGGCTGGGTCTTCAACCCGCGACCTTCGAATTACTAGATCGACGCTCTACCAACTGAGCTACACGGTCAGACGGATTTAAGACTGGAAATTATGAAATATATACTGAATTTCATAAACATACTCGTTTATATTAATTCAGCATCGAACAATACTAGTTCTGCAAGTGTTATGTTAATTGTGTTATTGTCTTAAATCCGTCTGACCGTGTAGCTCCGTGGTAGAGCGTCGATCTAGTAATTCGAAGGTCGCGGGTTCAAGACCCAGCCGCGGCAGACAGCATCTTTCTGCTTGCGCTGGGTATGGAAATTATATAATACACACTCTAGAACATTTTCACATTACTATATATCTGTGCCTACATGCGGATATTATTTTGTTTCCTGAGTTCAATGAGCTTAATTTGGGATGTTAAATTATAATAAACTTTTCGTGCAGGCATAATTTTCAACGTTTTGTTTTTTTCAAGCAAATATAGCAATGTGAATTAGGTATGCAAATTAGTATTTTGTCGCGGAAGAGACCATGCTTTGTATGCAGTGTGTTTTGTTGTGGTGTTAAATAAACTGTCGAAGACAATTGTATTCTGGCGCATGGTATCCTCAAAATGCTGGAAATACCATTTCAGACTCAAATTTTCAAGGAGCATGCCCCCGCGAAACGTTTTTGCACGTACGAACTTATCCCCCCTGTCGCTGTCCTTAGCTCTTTGTCGGGGAATTCCAGGCGCTACCACTGTGTTTAGGTATTCTTGGGTTCCATATGATGTCACGTGGGGTTCAAGGGTTGTTTCAAAGGACGGCTTTATATTTTTGTATTGTCTCTTATTGGATTTTTAGTTATAACAGTCGGAGAACTTATTTTACTGCAATGGCTGTCAACACATCTTATGTTTCGTATTTGTTGACCTCAGGTTCAATTATTGCCCCCCACGTGATTCAAAGCATGCTAAAACATCACGTGATTGAAACCGAAGAATTGGAAAGCGTTTATGTTCTTCCTTCATGATCTTTCAAAGCAGTGTCTTTGTATTGTGATCCTATTATCTCACCGTATACCATGAGTTTATGACCCATTTACACTTGCAACTTTTGCTGCGATTTTAGGTCCGATTTTCTTCTTCTGATGGATGTGAACGAGTGAATGGTTTATAAATGCAGAGAAAATTGCAAGTGTAAACGGGCTTTAACAGTCCCAGCTACACTGCAGACAACCAATAAATTTGTTATCCCAGATTCAAATTGAATCTAGTATATAACCAATTCCTTAATTGGTTGGTTTAACTAATTTGTTTTTACACCGGCCCTTTTATTTTGTGTAAGAGAAGCATTTTCCGATGATTGAGTACACTCGAGCTACTGCATCCAGAAACAGTAATTATATTCCAGTTATCGAGAAAAGATCGATCAACAAAAGCGCTTTTTATATATTTTTTTGTTTTAGGAAACGCTGTAGAGGATGATCGCCGCGACCTTTTGAAAGAATTGACAACCATTTCTGCAATAAGTTCTCATGAAAATATTGTCAACTTAATTGGTGCCTGTACCAGTGAAGATGGTAGGTAATAATAACTTCTTATTAACCGAGCGCAAGTTCTTTACGAAAAATATCGGAGGTCTTTTTTGTACAGACCGAGCCCGTAGGGCGAGGTTTGTACAAAAAGACCGAGGTCCAATATTTCTTTGTAACGACCGAGCAAGTGAGGTTAATAAAAAGTTTATTATATGACATTTATAGGCATTTGTAGTCGAAACAAATAAGAAATGCATATTTGAAATGCATATTAGTAGCGTGGTACACATTTGATCAAAGAAAACAAAAAAATACCAATGTATTCCTTCCTTTCCACGTAACAAATTAAATTTTCAAATTTTCAATTTGTTTTGCTGTTTTGTTTTAAAATGCATGCGTTTGTTTTTATGTAATGGACCGCCGGTCCATTACGGGAAAATAATGGACCGCTGAAAGTGCTTCTCAGCCAATCACAGTCCGCCATTTCACCGGAAGTGATGCTTGCCATATAATAATTACTACTAATCCTCTCGTTTAAACGTCATACAGAATAATTAACAATTATAGACAACGAAACCGAGTTGTCTACGTGAGCGAATAGTCAACGAGACGGAGCCGAGTCGACTATTCACTCAAAGACAACGAAGCTGAGTTGTCTAATTGTTTCAGTATAAACCACATAAAGAAAACTGAATGTGTAAAATAATAACTTTTTAACGAAATGAGCGTTGAAATGGCTTCCTTTGGCGACATTTCGCTTTGGCCTTGTTGACAACTACTCAATGTTGCGAACTCCCAAGAATGACTTGAAAAATAATACTTGTGAGTTTTAAAAAACTTAAAAAACATGTCGTAAAAGTACTAAAACAATATAATAGTAAGGGTCGTTATACAAGCAAAGCTTGGCTGACAAGGTTTAAAAAGTCCAAAATTTAGAACACAAAATGGCTTTCCGAATTGTTACTAAATAAAGTTTACGTTAAAAAGCCGAATAAAAGTGCACACAAAAGAATCCGAATGTCGTTAAAATCTTTAAAATATCTGGAAAAATAAATAGGCGAACTATTTCCATCATCTAGTATACGTAAACAAAAGTTTAGATTAAAATTTAATCGAAGGCTCAAAAAAAGGAGAAAAACAAACTCAGCCAAAACTCGACATTTAAAACTAAAAACTCTTTAATTAAAATGATAGCTAAATACATGATCGATGCTACATAAAACAAGCACCAGGGTCGTAGTGACCGGGAGGTGTGGGGGAGGGGGTGCAACACCCTCCCTAATAATTGCTCATGAGCAATTTCAGGTAGATTCCCAGTAGATTTTCTGGGAAATTCAGTTAGATTTCCAGTAGATTTTTAGGTAAATTCAGGTAATTCTCAGGGAATAAGAAAGTAAATTATTGGGAGAAATAACTATATCTGTGGAAAAATTTGTTTTTATTTTCGTAAAAATGGGAAAAATGTTTGTATTTTCGGAAAAATTATGGTACGTCGGGAAAAATTTTTGTATGTTCGCGAAAATCACGATGTGTTCGGAAAATGTTTTGGTATGTCCGGAAAAAATTTTTCGACGTCCCCGCACCCCGCTCGCCAACATGCGTCCCTCTCGGCATGCATGCGTCCCAAAATCAGGTAGAAACGTTAAGTTGGATAAATTCAGGTAAATCTAACCTCACCCCCCCCCCCCTTCCCCAAAGGCTAAGTCCTCGCAACGATTCTGACAAGCACACACTAAAACGGTTGAGAAAATAGGGGTAAGTATAGCTACAAACTATTGTTGAATTTAAACGATTCTGCTTGGAATATTATTAAACAAACATTTTAAAAATCGACTGTCACTTTCATGTTCAAAACTATATATGAGCAAAATTTTGATAACTTTGAAATTTTACCGTTCTGATAAGCTTTTTTTCCTTTAAATGCAGCTTTTAATACTTAGAAACGGCCATCAACATTGTTTATACTAGTAGGCTATCACTAATATGAATAGCCTACAAGTAGCGTAGCCAATCAGATCGCACGATACATGATAGCCTACTAGTAGGTTTACACTAAATCTTATTATTATATACACAAGGTCTGGATATGAGGTATTCTGCAATCTGATTGGTTCTCTACTAGCAGGATATTAGCTCATATCCTGCTAGTAGAGAAAAACAAAATGGCGGTTCAAACTGAATTTCTGACGTTTTGCGAACGAGAAAAAGACAAGTTGTTCGCTTTTTATAGCCTTTACAGGATTAAAAACACAATGAAAAAACTCCCACAAATTGTTTTGAATTTTTTAAAAATTGAAAATGGTTAAATTGAAAAAAATAATCGGACGAAAGAGCGAAGGTAAAAACATAAACAAAATAGAAAAATGTTGAAAATATTCGAAAAGCAAAGTCTGTGAATTCAGACCTTGTGTATATCATAAAACAGTTATTTCACTCACTCTCGTCGAATATGAGCGATAGCCAATTCGGCGCTACGCGCCTTTTCGGCTATCAGCTCATATTTGACTCGAGTTCGTAGAATAACTGTTAATTATCCAAGATACTTGTTTGCACGCCCATTGCTATCACTGCATGTCATGATGTAAACAAGTGGAATACAACGAAGGTAAGTAATTGCAAGCGGTTAAATGGACCTTTCCCCTTATAACTAAAATTTTGATCTAGACAAAAATTTCATCACAGCTTGAAAGAGCATCACAAAATTAGTAATATTCCAAAGTTTCGTTGCGAATAATATAAAATGCAGATAAACTTCGTTTGTCTGTTTTAGTCATTTTGTATTACGCATGGGAAATTGACAGCCCAATCGGGTGTTGGGGCATCAATTTCCCGTTTGTAATACAAAATTACTGAAAATTGCGAAATTTCGCAGGGCTATATTATCCGCATTTTACAACATTTCGCAACGAAACTTCGGAATATTACTAATTTTGTGATGCTCTTTCAAGCTGTGATGAAATTTTTGTCTAGATCAAAATTTTAGTTATAAGGAGAAAGGTCTATTGCATTCACAGCAACACATATAATCCATTTGTTCTAAGGACATGGAATATAAAATGCAGTCGTGTTTCTTTCACAACCTTTTTCAAATTTTATAGGTCCTGTGCTGTTAGTGCTCGAGTTGTGCTCTCGTGGTACTCTCGAGAATAGTCTTCGAGAGAAGGAGAAAAATGAGCAGTTGTTTCTGAAGAAGACTAAGCTAACTTTGGCGAATGAAATTGCCGAAGGAATGAGACATCTTGCGGACTCAAGGGTAAGAAGCTGTTGCAGACTTTTAATGCTTGATCGTTGTATATTTGTTGAACCCAGATTTTAAATATTATCGTGGACGATAATGTATCGAGTCTATAATATGTCTGTTGAAATTAAAAGCTCAAAACTACAAAACTGACAAAGACTATGCTTGGAATGAATTAATTATATGCTTGGAATGTGTAAAATGTTTAAAATAACCTCGTAGTACGAACATTAAAATAACTCGTGTATATATGGTTTTAATACTTCAGTTCTAATTTCTTCATTTTAAGATTGTTCATCGGGATCTAGCGGCAAGGAATATTCTTCTGACCGAAGATTTTATGCCAAAAATTTCTAATTTTGGTCTTTCTCGTGACATTTATGAGCGTGGTTCGTACCACAAGCTTACGCCGGCGGTAAGTTGAGACATCATAATATTATACGCTATAATATATTACAGAAAATCGATCTCCAAACTTTGTAAACATTGCCAACAAGTTAGGACAATTCCATTACAATTTCCCAAGAAAATATGAACTGTGCAACGTCAAAAAACCATGCATGTCCAAGCTGGTTCTCCGTTTTATGGAGGTCCTGTGATAAATCACTTTTAATCACTTATTTAGCAACTGCAGATAAGGAGTCTAAAGGTAGCTTTTCAATCGTGCGTTTTTTATACGTACTTATACTCAAGCAAAAGTCTATAAATCTTACCTTTTGACATAACGAAACGAATAAGGGTTCAACATTCAGTTTTGTGTATTATTTAGTGATAGTATATTTATTGAAGCATTTATTAAATATTTTAAATTAGAATTTCTACTTTTTCCGTGAGTATACATAGGTATAATAAACCACAACCCAGAAAGCAGCCTTGAGCATGGGCGTCAATACTAGGGGGGATGGGGGGGCCTCGTCCCCCCCCAGTTTTTGAAGTGAGGGCCGGGACGAATATCTAATTATCCCCACTCCCCCACTTTTAACATATTTCATAAATTTTGTTTCTTGGTAATCTAAAAACCTAATGCCTGGTATGCTATTCATCCAGACTTGTGGCTGGAACAAGATGAAGTACAACGTATAACCTTTCTGTAGTCGCTGGGAGCAAATACTGACATCGAATATGTTATGTGAATGAATACTAAAAAATATTCAAATATTGAATTCAAATTTGTACATGTGTTGTAATTTTATAAACATTCACATAAAGGCACTATTTTTCGTATTCACTTCCTATTCTAACTGACCAAATGACCTACTTATGGCGACAAAATTAAGAGACAAGTTATGCTTTGCATGGGCTGGCGATTTTGAATGCCTAAAGCGGTTTGTTAGCGAAGATCTGCAGCTCAATGGAACAT